GTTTTGAATCTTTTGATATTTCTTAGTTGAGAATCCTCTGGACCATCTAAATTAACTGACAGCTCCTTAACATCTTAGATGATTAAAGGATCTATGATGAATCTTTTAGATGGGATGAAAGCCTTATTTTGTTATGTCAAGTATCAACAGAGCGACATACATGCTAGTTGCTTTTAACATACTTAATCTGGTGTCTTTGACAAGATAATGCCTAATTGCCCTTAATGCAAAAACCTTTCTTTATGTGACAACGTAAGCCCATTGCTTTATGGTTTGAGTTTACGGCTTCCATGAATTTCCCATTATCTGGCAAGTAAAAGACAATTGTATTACCTATTTTGAAGTCTAAGAATCCCAAAATCAGCATGATGGTTGGTTCTTCTCTCTCTCTCTCTCTCTCTTGCCTTTCCTTTCTCAATGTGATGTTATTTGTGTAAATTGGTGGCAGCTACTCCCAAAGAAACTGCCGCTGCAACGCCTCCATCTCAGAAACCTGAAAGCGAGACATGAAATCCCATGAAAGGAGAATGATTGAGTTATCTAATCCATTAATTTTACAGAAACCTCAGGACAAGGGACTAAACTTCCTGAAAAACATAAATGGAGAAAGAAACACCACATTTTGTCCCTTTTTTACTTCTAAATTTTGGTTAAGTGATTGTAGAATAGTTCTTGCATATTCTCTGTAGACACCAAGAGTAATTATACAACGTAATTTCATATCAAGTACCATTTCAGAAGGATGCTGACTTTTGGGATAAGGAACGTGAATCTTCTTTAGTTCTTTTGTTCATTTCGGAAGATGTTTACATTTTAGCCAAAAACTTCATATTGAAACAGATATTTTCTCATTTACTGAAAGGCATTGGAGTAATAATATTATACACTGAATATTGGATTGGGTGTGACTTATGTTGAATAAAGTATCAAGTGGCGTTTCTGGGACGTAGAAAACATCCTTGATAACTTCAATCCAAACCAGTAAGAGTGCGTTTGATTCAAAAAAATTCATAATTTTCTTTTTAGAATTTTGCTAGTGGGTATTTATTTTTCACATTTAATTCAAGATAATCCTGAGAGAAAATATCAAATTCTCAATAGTATTTAAAATTCAAGAATCAAAAACCCACTTGTATTTTAAGATTTTGGGGGAAAGTTATTTTATTTTCAAATTTGATTTTAATAAAAAAATTTATTATATATCCATTATCCATTTGAAAAGCAAGTTTGAAATTTTATTTTATTTTTTTGAAAATAATTTATTTTATTTTTAATTTAATTTTAATATACAACAATTAAGACGTTTATAAAAATAAATGTCTTAATTGACAAATGTCTTGTTTGATATCACTTAACATGTTTGTTCTTACAAGCACCTTAATTGATATCAATTAAGGCATTTCTTCCTACAAGTACCTTTTTTGATATTAATCAAGGTATTTCTTCCTACATTACAAGTGTCTTATTTGATATCAATTAAAACTTTTGTTCTTAGAAATGCTTTATTTGATAAATGATCTTGTAGAATTTTTACAAAAACAAGTAAAGCAGTTTTTTTGAACAAACATCTTATTTAATGCTTTTTCTAGCATATTTATAAAAACAAATAAGGCGTTCAACTTTTTCAAATGTTATAATTGATTTTTTTTATATTTTAATATAACAATTATGGCTTGATGTCTAGCAAACACCATAATTAGGTATATGTAATTAAAAAAATTAAAATCTTTCTTTTCTTTTATTGTTAAAGGTATTATTTATTGTTTGGGTTTTTTTTTATTAAAATAAAAATGAAAGGTTATTTACAGCATATTAAGAAGATTATAGTAATTATATATGAATTAATAAATTAAGATTTTTTCAGCCAAATGAATGAATCTGATTATAAAGTACCCTAAAAATCAACCTAAACTTTGAATATCAAACTTTTTAAAATATCACATTTTCTATTGAAATTCAAAATTTTATGAATCAAATACCTCTTAATAATAAGTAGTAATTGCCAAGCCCCTACAGTCAAAGCTGATTATAACATAAATCAAAAGTCAAAGAACAAGACCCGGTTGCTTTGTTTCGCTAATGCCTTGGTTGAGTCTAATGCTTGGATTGGAGATCAAAATGGTTCCCTTTTTCAGTTTAGAAACAACTGATTCAGTAGCTACCATGGATTCATGGTCACCTATTCATTAATCATTCGGTTATATAAAAAATAATTGAAGCTGCAGGTTCTAGTGCTTGTCTGACCTTCCATAAATGGCTCATGTTCATGTTATTGTTGGATTACCATTCGCTGCAAAGAAAAACTAATCGCCAAAATTAGTTTAAGGGTCAGCTTTTCTTTAATTACTTAACTGACTCTTCTATCGTCAAACAAGACGAAGGGACAGTTATTGTCTTGTCCCTTCTCCATCGGATCCATAAGCAGCGGTCTTAAATGGCTGGTTTAATATGGTCAATAATTTCCTAAGCTAGCCTTCGCCTTTTGTTGCTTTTCTCTCGGTTATGATGAAAAGTATTGAAAGTAAAATCTTAAATATATAGGGATGGTCAAGCCCTCCATAATTGCTGCCGATCTCAGTTATCATTTAGTAGATGTTCCTGCAATGCACCATGGGGGTGTATTAATAGTAGTCATTTACCTTTTACAGACTGAAGGTTTGCAGCCAAAAAGGCAAATGTTTGGTTGGCTGTTTGCTATCAAATCCCAAACTTCGTTTTTATCCTAGATGTACAAATAAAAAGGGATAATATCTCATTTGGCCCTTAATTTATTGTCATTTTTTTAATGTGATACCTACACTAAAAGAATTTTGAATTAAGTACCTAAACTTTTGATCCGTGTATCAATATTGTTTAAGACTTAATTTTGTTAGAAAAGTAGCTAATATGGCCATTTTAGCCAATTAAAAACAAATATTTAACCAAAAAATGACATGTCATTTTAAATAATAAAATATGTTGTTGCTTACATGTCTTCCAAAATTTTTTTGGATAATTAAAAGTTAGAAGTAAAAAAATTTACTCCCTTAAACTAAAGTAAAAAAAAAAACCCCTTCCATAACCCAAAATCCATAATCCTTCTGTTGTTAATGAAAAAAAACTCAAACAATCTCTTAAAATCAAATAAGAAGCTGATAGGAAAAATGTTAAACTAAAAAGTCATTAGATTCAATCACAAAATCTCATCTAAATACTAGGTTTCTTCGTTGGAACAAAACAAGTCAGGAGCATCGATTGGCATGAAGAGATTTGTGGAGTTTTTGGATTTGATTTTGATTTTCATAGTTAGAATCAATTTGGGGTTGAAAATATTTAAAGTATGCTCAATTTTTTATTCATTTGTTTTAGGGTTTCATTTTTTGAAAATGGTGACCTTTTTTCATATACATTTTTATTCACTTGTTTAGAGTCGTATACCTTTTTATATGGGGACAACAACTCTTTTGGTTAATCTTGCATATTGGCCTTTGTGTTAGGGTGTTACTTTGTGGTTCTAGTTTGTCCACATTTTGTATTTATTATACTATTAAAGTTTTATTTATACTATTTGTGTTGTTTTTGATGCAGCTAAAATAATGGATTTCATAATACTTTTCCTTACACATGCATTTGGGTGAGAAATTTACAGCAAATCCAAAAGTAAGCTATCTGAGTGGGGATGTAGATGTATGGAATATAAAATCCTGATGTGATTTCATTCACTGTGTTATGTGACATGATTAAAGAGGCTGTGTACAATAGTACTATATATTTTATTATTTGACACCAGGGTCTAGTATTAAGAATGGATTAATATTATGTTATGATAATTCATCATTTGTTATGATGATAGATCATATGAGGGCAATGCGAAAAAACATGTATAAGTGGAAATGGGGTTGATATACTTGAAATTGTTGATGATGTACCATTATTCCAAGTCAAGACCATTATAAGGAGGTTAGGAAAGAAAGTGAAAAAGGTACGTCTAATGTGAAAGATGAAAATAATGGAGACATTAATTTACAAGGGGGTGCAAACAATAATAAGGTAGATGATAGTAATATAGGTGGATGGCATGATAGTGATACTAATTTGGGAGAGGAATTTGTATATGTCACAATATTAGAGGAAGGTACACAAAGATTTACATGAGGGTGCAGATAAGGGTAGCTTTTTAGATAATGATAAAAAACCTTTTGAAGAATATAAGTGGGGGATTGGATAATGATGATGAGAAAATGTAGAATATTAGAATAGCTTATAGTAAGTTTGAAGAATAAAGGAAAAAATAGGATAACGAAGAATAATGAGATCCCACCAAAAGTGGAGTTTGAGGGTCTTTTGCAAAAGATCAAGAAACAAATGAAAGAAGCAAAAAAGAACAAAGAAGGTGAATATAGTGAGGCTAGGATAAACCCTATAGATGAGGATGATACAAATTACATAGATTTTTCAGACATAGATAATTATGAGATTTGTAAAGATGAGAAGGTTGTATGTAAAAAAAGTAGTAATAAATACTTTGACCTTTCAGATTCAATTTTTAAATTTGAGATTGCATGATTTTTAATGGTCCAAGGCAATTTAATGATGCATTGATCAAACATGCAACTACAAAAAGATTTAATTATAAATACCTTAGAAACGAGAAACATAAGGCCAGAATTGTTTGCAAGGTTTGGTTAACAATAATCACTCTTTATCAATTATATTTACATTATTGATACATGTGATAATTTGTGTATTTGTATTTGTTTGTTTCGTATATAATACGTTTAAAACATGAAAATTATCATATTATAATTCGTGTTAATAAATCAAATGCAAAATATATTTTTTTATTTTTATCAAATTTATATACTATTTTTATTAAAATTTTAAATTATATTGTATTCATTTTTTTTTTTATATCATATTATCATTTTTTGTTTAAAATCACTAAATCTAGTTATAGTTATCAAGTCATCGATAGCATTCTCTCATCAATATCAAGGAACAAGAAAATTAGCTAATACTATTCACATTTTATCCTGAATTAAAAGCCAAAATTATCAGAATATTTACCCAATCCTTTTTTTTAAAGAAGATTTACCATATACATGCATGAATCTTCTTACTCCCCAGTTTTGGTACTACAACTTAAGTAAAAGCTCAAACACATTCAACTCCGACTCCAATTGAATCGCTAAAAGGGCGTTCAATATTCCTTAAACTGCGGTCCATCAAAAACGCATGAGACCACAGTTTCAACACGATATATTCATATTGTCCCAAATCTAAAGTGTTGTAGATTTCAACAATATTGTCAAACAAGAGAATCCCAACAACTTTTATAATCCATATCCATGATAGTTCGGTGCATTTAATTGAAAATCAATTAATTCCATATAGTCACAACATTAACAACAAAGACAGAACCACAGGCAAAATCTAAGTAACAAGTCAAGCAACTGCCCTAACTTCGCTTCAACATTCTTCCCAAGTGAAAATAAAAGAAAAAACCAACATAAAGTTGAGTAGCAATAGCATAAGTCTCCTTCATTTTACAATTTTTATCACGGATTTATTCAAGGATGCAACTATTTTCACATTTACACTGATATTAGTTCATTTTAATCGACGAAGTTTCATCTGATGTCTTCTTGTTATCAAAATAAATGTGAAAATAGCACCCTCCTAATTTTTATGTCAATCCGTGTTAAATTAAAATCATCATGAAACTTAATTTATAAGAATATTGATGCTACCCCCAAAGTATTATCATTGTTCAAGCAAAATATTATAACTAGAATTCCATGAGAAACTCGTTATCTTTCTCCAACTTCTCCAGGGCTTCAGCTTCCAATGTGATCTCCACGTCAATGCTCCTGCCACCGCTCTTCCCTTGATACAAATACACCATCCCATCGAACCTGTTGTTGGATCCACTTCTCACTCCTTCTGGTTTTCCCCACCCGAAATCCACATCGTAAACCTTAAACCTGGGAGAGCTCCCAACTGCCACGCAGTTGACACCAGCATCCTTAAACTGAAAAATCTTTGGTGCAGCTTCCCACTCCTTGTTACGTTCATCGATGGCCATCGCATTGTGCGATTCTATAGCTTTTTGTATCACTGATGCACCGAATCCCGGTGGATTAGCCAACAAAAACCCAGCAGCCGTGACGGTGAAGATGGCTTGAATCAGGTTGCCAAAGTAACTGTCGGGCATTGGGGGATCAACCCTTTTACGGCAATCTGCAAAGACAGTGAAAACTGTGTAGTCTTCGGGTTTAAGTTTACGTGCTTGGGATACATGCTGCCATATGTGCACAGCTAGAGATTGAAAAGTCGAGAATGGTTTAGAGCAGTCGGATGGTGGGTTAGAGTTGACTTTGGACTTGATCTTGTCAATGGCAGATGCCGAAAACCTGAAGAGTTTCTCCTTGAGTTGCGGGCCTTGCTTGGCGTCACCGTTGGATGAAGCGACTGGATTGGGTGGTAGAGAGAGGTCCAGCTTCACGCGGGTGTTTCGGGCTTTGGTCCGCTCGAGAAACGGTGGGACAGAGATGGAGTTGGACCCACTACAGATTTGGGCCCAAGAGCTCAGGAAATGCCAAGTAGAGGTTCCATCAAGGATCGCGTGGTTAAATGCGCACCCCATTGCCAGTCCGTCTTTCAACTTTGTTAACTATTGGACAAAAAAGGGCATGGGTGAAAGGACAAAACTGACATGGGCCCAAGCCGAAAGAGTGCAGGAATTAATAAATGGACCACGACCACAGATGAAAGTTAACAGATTAATCGGCCTATAAAATTAAAGGCCCAGCACAATGACTACTTTTCTTTAGGCCCCAGGCCATTAAATTTTCTTTCAAAAGAAAAAAAAAAGGGTGTAACAATATCTTACGTTATCTTGTAGTTGATGTATTCTTCAAATTGGGCTATTTGGCTTATGTCATTTTGATCTAAAATTTCTTTCAGAAAAAGAGTTCAACAATATCTTAAATGCTTCGATTATGAAATAACCATGTGTCAAGAGATTGATGCATGCGCAGCCATATTTAAACAGCTGTAATTTCATTAACATTTTATTCCATTTGGTACTCCATCAAATTTAGAAGGGTCATGGGCCAGTTGTCCTCCTTTCAACTGACTCAACAAGTACATTTTATGATGAAAATATAGTTTATGACATCTATCACATTTTTTGCCAAAGAAACTTTAATGATTCATTCTTTTATCTTCTGCAAATATCTAAAATAACTACAAGCAAATTGTGTAGCAGTAATGGTAGTAGTATACTTTAGCTGGTTTCTAATTAATATCATAGCCATTGTAAAATCTTGCTTATGGATGAAAAGAATGATCATACCAATCTGAATTCCTGTTGCCTAAAAAGGAAATGAACATGCAGGATGATTTCCTAAGATACAGTATAAATACTCAATCGAAAGAAAACTGCAGGGACTAAAGAAAGATTCAAAGGAGTTTGGGGAAAGAAAACAAGCATATATGGCCAAATTCTGCTGTCATCTAGCAATATCAATGGACAAATAGCAAAAACAAGTGTTACCTGCACAGACAACAGAGGCCTGTGAAGGCCCTCCAAGTTCAACACACCATTGTACGGTATCAGGTCCTTGAGAGAGCTAGTGCCTTCATCAGCCGCCAGTTCATCGACGCTGATCCCCTCCGCGATGGCTTCTAACACCTCAACACCGTCCATATCATCGTCATAATCCACCCTGAAAACCCCTTCCTCGTCTTTTCCAAGCTTGCCTCCTAGCTGATAAAACTCCTCCAAAACTACCCTGAGCCCGTCCTTGAGTTTTTCCACCTTTTCCTCAAACTCTCCAGCCTTGTAAAACAACAACTTCTGGTTATAATAGAATGCCAGATATGGGAGATCAAATGTGACCAATTGACATTCTTTTCTTCCTATAATCTTGCTAGGCTTGACATGGCTTTTGCTGGTGATTTTCACCTTCGCCATCTCTTCCTTCTTCCCTGCTTCAGCTGCCATATCCTTGGTGATTGTTATTTTGTTTAGCTAAATAAAAATCTTAGAAGAAATAGAAAAAAAATATTTTCAGAGATACAAAGAGCTGTAGATAGAAAACGGAGAGACTTTAGAGATACTTATAAAAGCAGAGCCACAGACACACACACTTGATGTAGTTGGGGTTGCATTAATGGGATTCATGACAGCAGTTGTGATCCATTATTATGCGTGAGTCCCCTCTTCTGGTTTTGGAAGCAGTTGGGTAAATATGTGCTAGCTCACTGTCTGTGCTATGGCAAAAATAAATGTAAACATTAAAAACACCTCAAAATTTGTGCTTTCTAAACCAAGAGTGTTCATTTGGATATAGTGGTTAATTTAGAATTAAATTAATGAAAATCAAATTAATTGAATTATATATTTTGTTTTTATTAATTGAAAAGAATATAATAGTTTGAAAATTAATCGATCAAATTAAATTCAATTAATTCAATTAAATTTTTTATTAATTAAATAATAAATATATATAAGTTAAATTATATTTAAACTCTTAATTTTTTCATTTTTGAAACAAATTAAATAAAATCATTCAACAAAATATTAAATTATTAAATTATTAAATTAAAAATTTTAACAATTTCTAAAATAAAATGATTTATTTCATATATTTTTAATTTTATATTTAAGTTTCATTATATTTAGGTTAAAATTTTGATTAGTATGATTAATTCAATTTTTAATCAAGTTAATTGAAAAAAGAAATTCTTTTAAAATTATTTTGATAATCGATCAAAATTAATTCAGTAAGTGATTTATTAATCTAATTTAATCAATATGATAATTTGATTGAAGTCAAAATTTGAACATCTTTACTATTTTTAGCTACAAAATTTTATACCTCGCATCCGCTTCAGCTTTTTCAACAAGGGTAAATTTAAAAGAAAAGTAAATAAATAACTTTTGAAGTTAACCTTCTAATATTTTCATGTCTACTTTTACTAGAACACTCAAGTTTTTTATTTTAAAGAAAAAAGCTATATGGCAATATTAGTCGTGGTCACACATTATGGTGCATCTTCCCCACCATTTGAGCGTGAAAGATTGAAATTAGTAATTGTATTCTTTAATTCTTTATATTTTCCCTTTTTCAGAAGGCAACTAGTACTGCTTGTAAATGAAGGTCAACATTACAAAGATGCCATGTAGTAATAGCAAAATGAAAAGAGATGGTTAGACTTTATCAGTCTTACTAAATATGCGTATTGTAATGGAAATTTTTCATTTGAGATGCTTGATTTAGTCCTCATCGGAAAAAACTGTTTTTAAAAAAGAAAATATGCTTGTGTTTCAAGAAAATGAGCTTTGAGTTCACGGAATTACTCTACATGCAAAGGAAAAGTATTGACTGATATATATACTACTATTTGATTACCAAATTTTCACCATAAGCGATGCAAGGAAATTATTGCTAGTAAAAATGATTGTAGTGCGTAGATCTTTTCATCTTTTAGGCACAATCTAGTTTTTCAGCATTAACTCCTGAGCAGCGAGCTCCATATGATCATGCTGGCCAAAATTCTGAAAGATACCTTTGATTAATAATTTTGTAAGGAGGGATGCAGATGCTGGCTGCCCAGATCTCCATGATAGCATACATAGTTTAGACTACTTTTAGAGCTATTAAAAAAAAGGGTCGTAAATTTTGAGTGATACTGGAATAGTTTCCCAGAGAGTTAAGTGGAAGTAGAAATACTCGAGTTACCAGAATCTCCATGGTTTTTCCTTTTTCTTTAGTTTTAATTGTGCTTTACACTTGTAGAAATGTCATGTATTTTCATGAGCGTTTGTATGAACACAAGAAAAGATGGTGAGAAGGGAATGGGAGCCACCAAATACATGCTTGATTGATTCAAAATTACTCATCGTATCTACAATTTCTACAGAAAAAGTTGGTGAGCAATAAATGTTCATCACCACAGCTTAAAATTGTTGAGGTGGGCATTGATTCATTACCGGCCTTAATTATTATATATTCACGAAAAAGTACCCTCTGGCCTAAGATTTCTTGTGGGTTTTCCTTCTTTTTCAACGTTCTGTCAAAAACGTACAAAACAAAGAAAAAATCAACAATTAAATGGAGATTTTGGCTAAACCGAATAAATGGATTAATATATATATATATATATATATATATATATATATACACATCTTAGTATCATCAGACCAGGATCCAGGGTGGTAGACCCAGATCTAGAATCTCTTTCGCTATCATCAAGTTTTTGGGAAAATTAGTTAGCATCATTTTTCTTCAGCTGTTTGTTTGGGATGATGGCAGAGTTGATAGCACCGGAACTATCAACTGTTTTTTTGTTAGTTTGTTTGGGATGATAGCAATGCAACAGCAGAAATCATCATAAAGCCATGAGCGCTGAGACGACTTTCTGGCTTAGTATGCATAAATATCCAAACGGGTCCGCCCTGGCTAAACTATCCCAACAACCTCTTTCTATCATATATCATACATAAAGCTGTAAATATTTGGTAATCTATGTGCTTTCATTAATTGAAAATGCATGCAATAGTGGATGAACAAATAAAAGTAAAACCTAGAATTTCCACGGCACATGTTCAAGTCCTATCATAGATGAATTTGAACCAATTTTATGTTAGGTTTATTCAATTATGTATTGGTAGATTTGTCTGTTGTTTTTTTTAATAAATTAACTGATTTTTTAATATGTAGTATTTGAATATAACTATAATTTTTCTTATATAATTGTATTGTAAAAAACAAAACTTGTTACATATATGAATTGAAATGTATACCTTTTTAATGAAAAATTGCCAACAGATAGAATCAATCTTTATATAAATAAATCAATCTATTTTATAATAATATTACATATATGGGTTACTATCGGATAAAATATAATAGCCCTTCGGTAATCATCAAATTCCTAGAAAATGCCATTACCATTATTGTGATGGTACTTTGCCAACAAATATAATGTCAATTTTGAGATATTTATTGTAAGTATTTTATTTTGTTCGAAGATTTATTGAAATTAAAAGAGATTTCCATCATAAATTAGGTTTTAATGCAAAATTTTTGATTCAATGATTAAAAGTCCAAACAAATTTTTTGAGTTTTAATTTAATTTAATTTAATTTTATTTTATTTTTGTTTTTTGATTTAATTTTGTTTTTAGTCAAAGGAAAAGTAAAAAAAAAAAAAGAAAAGAAAAAAGAAATGTCAAAAATTAAAAAAATTTGAAAATTTGAAGATTTCAATTTTGAGAATCAAAGATCTTTGTGGTTGAGTTGATTATGAAAATACTTGGATCCCAATTTTCATGCAAAAAGAAAAGATTACAAAATTACAGAAAAATCACAGATTCAATAGAATTAATATATTTTTTAAAAATTAAAAGTGATTAAATCTCTATTTAAAGACCCATAATGTACAAAAGGAAAATTATTCACAAAAAATCTTAAGTGCCCACTAGCTAGCCAAGCACTCATCAAGGCTCTATGATTGAACCCAATACCATCTCTTCCATCCCCACAATCCAATCTCGAAACCACCTATCACCTAACTCATTTTGTCTAAACCCTTGAACTATCGAGACTCATGCTTGCCGACAACGAGATCCCTTTCCCCAATGTCACCAGTAAGATCTTATCTAAGGTTTTCGAGTATTGCAAGAAGCACGTTGATGCCACCTCTGCCAGCAAGGTCAAGAGCACTGACAATAAACTTAAGGCTTGGGATATTAACTTTGTCAAAGTGGTGAAATGCAAACAATCCAAATAGGTGCTTGATACAACAACAAAGATAAGAAAGAGTCATTGGTGGTTTTGATAGAGAACTAAGACTAGAAAGAGAATTAAGAGAGAGTTAGTCTATAAGGTAAGAACTACATTTACGAAATACGAAATAGAAGTGGCGGCATTAAAGCTTGAAGTGATGGAGGAATAAAACTAATATATGAAAAAACCTTCTTCTACCAATTTGGTATACATCTTGTGTTTTATTTTTCGATCTTTTAATTCCTTTCTATGGTCATGATGCTTTTTTTTTTCATTTTTATTTTCTAGGATGCTAAATGGATTTTTTTTTTTTTTTTAGTTTGATCTGCATTTATTCACTTCTTTTAATATGAACCTTTTTATTTATCTATTTTTATTTTTTATTTATTAATCTTATCAAATGGTTGAAGGATTTAAATTTTTTTATTATAAATTTTATCAAATTATTGGAGAATTGCATAATAGCTTTTTTTTTTCCTTTTGATAGAATAAAATTTTTAAATCTTACTAAACTATTAGAAAATTTAAATATCGAATTAAGTCTTACCAAACTATTAAAAGACTTAATGAATTTTTTATGAAAAAATTAATAAAAATACGTTTTTCAATCCTACCAAACTATTAGAAGATCTAAATCTTGAATTAAATCTTATCAAACTATTAGAAGATTTAATTAGTTTTCTTAAATTTAATTTATGAATGGACTTTCAAATAAAATCCCATAAAACTATTAGGGGATGTGTATCAAAGTTAAATCTTACCAACTATTAAAAGATTTTACTAATTATTTTCTAAATAAAACATATTAATGAATCCGATAATGGAGCGTCATCAAAGTGGGACATTGATATCCATGAATACTTTTAAGATAAAAAAAATTATCTTAAATTGCTATCAAACTATTGGAGTAGTTTTAAGATTGTAGACACCCAATTTGATCTAGGCCCAGATCAATTAGGCCTACTCTAAGGGGGTCAATTAAGCCCAAAGATTGGTTTAATTAATTAATTATTTATTTATTTATTATGTTATTTATTTATTTTTCTTTTTATTTTTTCTAAAGTTTATCTTTTCCTGATTAATCTTCAATTATTAGGAGATAATGATGATGATTAAGATGATAATAAAGGTTAAAAATAATAAGAAAAATATAATAGAAAAAAAAAATATTCTACTAAGGATTGGGATTGGCAGAGTTGCAAATGGATTTAAAGACTATATGATAAATTTGATGTTTTGTGGAAAACATTTAAACCTAATAAAAGAGGGAATCCGAATT